GGGCCCTGTCTTCCGCAATTAGTTGATACCATAGATGGAGAAGAGGACTTCCAGTTAAAAATATACTTGCGAAATTTCACAATTGCATCGTTCCTGATAGTCATACACAAGGCACTTTAAAACATGAAAAAAGAAACTCTAATTGCATGTTGGAAAAAACTGTGGCCAAAATGTGTACATGATTAAAAAGCCTTTTCATCCAATGAAATTTATCATGATGCTGTCAACAGGTCAGTGAAACTGGCACAGTTAGTCGGGGGGGGGGTGATAGCTTTGATTATGTAACTCAACAGGAGTTCAATGAACTCATTGATAGCCACTCTCAGCCTCTGAAGGATGAAGATTTTGCAGAGCTGACGCAGTCTGCAGAAGAAGAATCAGAGGTCCAGAAAGACCCGTCACAAGAGGAAGATGATGAGGATCTGACTTCATAACGGTTGGCTGAACTCATGCGAACAGACTGCGCATTTCAGCAATGCATATTTATAGAAATGAATTCTTTGTTTAAATTCTGAACAGTAACTGGGCAACAGCTAAACACATTGCAGGATTTAAGACGACGTAATGCGAACTAGTTTTCACGTAACGCAGTTTATGCTCCAGAAATGGGATGTAGCCAAAATTAAAAGGACTATTGCTAAATTATAGTAATTTCTTTCATATTTTATATCTTACATATTCCACCCTTAAAGCACTAACAAATGGCAATAAATTTTATACACTGTATACAAAATGTGGTTCTTCAATAAGAAAAAAAAAATTTTTTTTTTTCTCCAAGGGCATGGTGTTTAGTTTTCACCATACCACATTATTTTATTTATGAACTCTCTCATACCATAAGTATAAAAAAACTATGCATAAAAATATTCTTTGGAAATACTTTAAAAAATACTATTTTAACTAAACGTACAGTCAAATTTGCAAAAGTCTATAACTTCGTTCTCTCTCAAAATATAAGTTTTTATAATACTCAGAAATCTCTGTTGAATATCATAATGTATACTTCCATATCTTGAATGACTTTTACAAAAAACTGTTGTATTCAACATAAAAACAAAATATTTGTTACGTATTCATGAAATGCTATTAAAATGAATTATTTAATCATAAAACAAGCCAAATTTTCTTATTGTAAAGCAATGTAAAATGTACTTCAGAAACTAATAAACAGAAAACTAATAAAATACAATACAAAGTAAACTTTGATGAAAAATGGGCAGGGCTTCTACAAGCGAGTCAATGTAACTACTTCCTAATGACTGAAAGATGTTTAAATTTTGAAGAAGTAAAAACAGCATTTGTATCGCTTAAAATTTTCTTTGGGATCTGAATCTGAAAATTTTGTCTTAATCAATTGATGTAAGTATCAGTAATTAAACTTTTAGAAGCAAATGTCCATATATAGCAAGCAGCATGATCTGTAATAATATGAATATACTTTTTAGTAGAATTATAATAATTTAAACCGCCGAAAATATCAATAGATAACAGTTCAAAAGGTTCACTTACAGATGTAGTGCTTGCATTAAACCAAATTCCTTTTCAAAATCGTAAAAAACAACCTTATATTTAGCGTAGGTATAATGAAACACTCAATCGATTTCGAGGGCAGCTAAAGGTCCCTCCTCATCAGGAGAAAGAAATACATAGAAAGAAAAAAATAGGAATCACAGAAACACGTGGTGCTTATCAGCACTGCACGTGGTTATAACTAGATTTTTAATCAGAGTTACACTGGCCGCCTACTTTTACTGAGCCAGGCTGTCTGATCAAGCATAAAGAAATATTAGCGAAGTTAAAATAGGGAGCGAGGGGCAAATGCACATTACGCTCAAAAATCTGAACTTCAAATAATGGAAAGCAACCACTGAACGGATTTTTTTATACCCTCTGGTAGTACCAAGTGCGAGGAGGTAACGCCATCTATCGGCAAAAATAATTGAATTAAGACAGTAGAATTTTAAAGGCATTAGGAAGGACTGGATTGGACTTCAAATCATTAACTAAACTTTCTAAATCTTTGTGAATGTGAAAAGCCTCAAGAAAATCCAATTTGCCTATGGAAGAAGCCTTTTGGATGATTTTTGCATCCAAATTTTGGATCAAAATCAAAATTTTGGATGACTTTTCAAAGACATCTAAACCTTCAATTCCTCAAATCATCGCCCCTATAGAGAAAGCCTTTAAATTCTTCAAAATTTCGGAAACGCAGAAGGATACAATCCGCCACCTAATTACTCATAACGTTAATTTTAACAATAAATCTTTGGGTTCTAATCTTAGCAAAAAGGAAAATGAGATCTTACGTGAAATTCATTCTGATACTAATATCATTATCTCTAAAGCTGATAAGGGCGGACAGATCGTTGTTATGGACAAACACACATATATTACTGGAGTCTCTAAATTGATAAATGAAGGCCCATACTGCTCGATCCCTAAAGATCCTTCAACTTCGGACCTCATGAAAGTAAAAAGTGCTATTAAATCTTCCCACATTCTGCCAACTCAGTTGAAGAAATCACTTATTCCGCCTATTACTAATTGCGCTAGACTTTTATGCTCTTCCAAAAGTCCACAAAACCGGTATTCCTTTTCGACCAATTGTTTCCAACATAGGTACTGCTTCATATCCTTTGGCCAAATATTTAGTTTCCAGATTTTCTCCTCTACTTGATAACAATATTCACACTGTAAAAAATTCTGTTGAAGTCATTGATAAACTTAAAAATATTTCCCCACTTCGTTCCATTATGGTTTCATTTGATGTCAAATCATTGTTTACTAATGTTCCGGTCGAAGGAGCACTAAATTGTCTTGAAACTAGGCTTTGGGAATTTCACTTCACACATACTGAAATTAATGAGTTGGTTTCGCTTACTAAAGTTTCTCTAAGTCAAACCCACTTTGTTTTCCAAAATGCATATTTTCGTCAAGTTGAAGGATTGGCTATGGGTAATCCTCTCAGTCCGGTACTTGCTGACATTTATATGCACTATTTTGAGATGAAATTATTTGATAAATTATCTTTTCGTCTTTGGATTCGGTATGTTGACGACACTTTCGCACTTTTTTGACGGTTATAAAAGAGGATTTATCCGAGATTCTATCTATTATGAATTCAATTGATCTAGCCATCCAATTCACTCTTGAAATTGAATCCAACAATTCCCTCCCCTTCCTCGATATTCTTATAATCCGCAATGAAACCGATTTTAGCACCACTGTGTACCGTAAACCCTTTGCAGTTTGTTTACCACCCCATGCCAAGTCATGCCACCCTGTTAAGCAAAAAATGGCTTCTTTTTACTATTATGTTTTCCGCGCGCTAAAAGTTTGTTCCTCTGAATCTTTGCTTACCAATGAACTTAATTATTTGAGAGCAGTTGCGATTGACCGTGGATTTTCTCCCGTGATTATTGATAAAGCCATCAAAAAATTTTCAGATTCCCATCAAAGAAGACATTCCACTGTTAGAAATAATATCAATGACCTTGTCGTGCTTCCATTTTATCCTTCTGTTAGCTATAAAATTGCACGGATTCTCCAGAAATTCAATTTTCAAGTCGGTTTCTCCCCTATTAATAAAATTCACCCTTCGATTCTAAAAGATTGCGTTTCTGTCTTGAATTCTTGGGGAATTTATAGTATATCATGTCAGTGTGGTTTAAGATATATTGGCCAAACAAAAAAGAGCGTTGAAGTTTCGTATCAAGGAACATGAATCTTATGTCAAAAAAGGGGAAATTAACAAGTCTTCAATAGCGTATCATAGCTGGACTTTTAACCATAATTTTGATTTTGGGTTTGCAAAAATCATCCAAAAGGCTTCTTCCATATGCAAATTGGATTTTCTTGAGGCTTTTCACAATCACAAAGATTTAGAAAGTTTAGTTAATGATTTGAAGTCCAATCCAGTCCTTCCTAATGCCTTTAAAATTCTACTGTCTTAATTCAATTATTTTTGCCGATAGATGGCGTTACCTCCTCGCACTTGGTACTACCAGAGGGTATAAAAATCCGTTCAGTGGTTGCTTTCCATTATTTGAAGTTCAGATTTTGAGCGTAATGTGCATTTGCGCCTCGCTCCCTATTTTAACTTCGCTAATATTTCTTTATGCTTGATCAGACAGCCTGGCTCAGTAAAAGTAGGCGGCCAGTGTAACTCTGATTAAAAATCTAGTTATAACCACGTGCAATGCTGATAAGCACCACGTGTTTCTGTGATTCCTATTTTCTTCTTTCTATGTATTTCTTTCTCCTGATGAGGAGGGACCTTTAGCTGCCCTCGAAATCGATTGAGTGTTTCATTATACCTACGCTAAATATAAGGTTGTTTTTTACGATTTTGATTGTCACATTAGCGTGTTTCTCTTCTAGTCAAATTCCTTTTGTTTGCTTCTCTTATTAAACTGACACACTTCACAATATTTACAATAATTTCTAATATCTTGTATTACAGGTGCCCAAATAATATTGAGGAGATAACAGATTTAGCATTGAGGATGACCAAATTCAATACAACATTGACAACTTCTGCTGAAATTCTATTGAACTCCACTGACCAAAGAGGATTCAAATACAATGAAAATATAGCACTTAAAAAACACACAGTGCATTTCGAAAAATATTTAAACATCCTAAAAAACAAATTTATCAACTTTTTAAAGAAATAAACACATACAATAAGCATGAAAATTAATAGATTAGAATTTTTGGATTTTTCAATTATCCGGGCATGCTTCCCCAACATTGACCCAGATAATCCAGAATACACTATCATATGAAAACCCCTGAATATAATATTTGATGAATTTAGTGCAATTTACTTAAATTATATAAAAGCAAAAATGAAAAAACTGCAAACTGATAGCAAGACAGATTTTTAAAGTTTTATAAATTAATTCAAATTTAAAAATAATTAATGCAGTATTTTTGAATGATGAGTTATAAACCAATAGCTAGATTAGGTTATAGAAAAAACTCAAAAGCCACAATACCCTAAGTAAGATATATAGATTCCACCCTCCACCCCAATAAAGTAGCACCTTGGTATACATCAGGGGTGGCCAGCTTTTTTGGGAAGTGTGCCACTATCTGAAAAAAAAAGAAAGTTACGTGTGCCACTTCCAACTTTTCTAACAAACTGAAAAAATATGAAAAGGTGAAAAAAATGTTATTTATAGGCTGATTATGGGATTTTCCCAGATAGCACATTTTTTTATGTAAGTCTGAGTAGTGGACATTTAAAAAATAATATAATAAAACAAACATACAATCTACGGTTTTATTGTTAATAAACATTTTTAAAGCTTCAGTCAGTTAGGTCATGTTACAGAGCAAAAATGAATAATTTGAAACATTTAATTTTATATATTAAAAAGGTCAGTACCAATTAATGCAGTTTTTGGATATGTAGTTTTTTTTTTACCAAGGTTTTTTACCTAACAAAATTAGGTGTTTTATGTGCATTTCAGTTAATCTTGAACGGTATTTTTATTTTATTTTGTTCATAAAAGAAAACATATTTTCACAAAAATATGTTGGTCAAAACCCACAACAATATCTGACAGCCAAATCGTGTAAGTTTTGGAAAATTGCTTGTTGGTACAAATTCCAAAATTCAATATAATTTGGATCATTTGCAGTTGAAATAAGTTCTTTATAACATTTGATTTTCAGTGTACTATGCTGCTGTAGGGTCAATACATTTGATTTGGATTTCAGTTGGGTAACAATTAACATCTTGCAGAGAAACTCAATTATTATATTTATTCTAATGTGTTTATGTGAGCCTCTATCCACGGAGTTGATACAGACGATATTAATATTTTTTCAAATCTTCAAATTCATGAAGTCTTCGCGTGCCACAGTTAAATCTCCGCCATGCCATGGGTTGGCCATCCCTGGTATGCATCATTAATCTGTTCCATTACCCTTGGACTTATACCAGACTGGCCTAATGCAAAATGAACTTTACAGTAAGAAATTAAGAGAAAATAAACAATCCATTCTTATAAAAAAAGTTACTATTATACAAGTAATAACACTATTTAATACTGAAATACAATTGCATTGTTTAACATATATACTGTACATAAATCAAATACTCAGTATATATTTTTTACCTACATCAAAAGCAATTTTTTAGTGTGCTCTAATGTCTCTGATCTTTGTTTGGTTAACTGATTTCATCCCTTTCATTTCAGTGGCCTTAACAGAATCCTTGTTTATCAAATCATACATACCATCATTCTTAGCAAATGGTATGGCAACAGCCAAGTCCTGGATACACATGCCATCTTCATTCTTTTCAACAATTTTCTTTTTCACCTCTGGAGATCATAAGTTTCCTTCACTGTTTGACTCTTCCCATTAATTTTCTTAAAATTCATTATTAATGAATGTACAAAAAAATTACATGAAAAATATAAAATTGTGAAAATTCAGAGTTGTAGTGGAGATTGTTTACTGAAGAGCAGCAACAGGTATACTTATGCTCATGCACAGTCACAGCACTGTCTTGAATGAAGTGAACAAAGGTCGTGATTCATCAAACTTGAGTTGCATTCTAAACAAATATTGTATACAAAATAAAACTTTTCTTATCCAAATAGGTAGCATATCAAACTGGACTTATTTCAAGGCAAATGTAGACCGAGGTATCACTCTTCCTGCATAAAAATTTTCATATAAATAATAAATTTCAAGATTTATTTTAGATCTAGAATGTCTCAGAAAAGATAAGACAAACTTCAACAAGTACAGTACGAGTAGAGGAGGACATCAAATATTTACCAACAGGTGATTCAGGTGTTGTCCCTTCCTACTAACTTTCCCGAATAGCCTAGTTTGACACAGAAAAAATCTGGCTCGCGCTACACTGTGGGCACTACCACTGCCAGCAGTGCATTAGGGGTTCGCCTGCCTGTCCCGAGTGCTTCGTTCGTACATTTATATCTATGAAAATTTACATTATGCACGGTGTTACATATATATTACTTCTACATAGTGATACAACAGATTTTACATGGTAGTTACAAATTTGTTACATATTGTTAAATCACTTGAATTACGATTGTTTTCACATATTTGTTTGATTCAGTATTTTGTGGGTTGAAGTTCTACAGTCCTTTCAGTCAGTTCACTGATGCTTACATTTCTTGTAAGGAAATCTTTTTACATAGAGTTTGTATTTGCATACTTTTTGTTGTAATCACATAGTTAGCAAAAGTCCATATTATAAAAGTTAAAAAATATTAATTAATTTAACATATCACCGTTATGAATATACATGCTGCAGTACAGTTATATTAATTTGAATTTTTAATTTATTTTATAATTGTAGAAGTGCTCAATTATTATATACAAAGTTCTGTGCACAATTTGCGCTATCGCACCTTTCGCTGGTTATCGTGTAATTAGTTCTCAAAGAAACTGAGAGGGATTATGTTACATGGGGGGGGGGGGGGCACATAATTCTTGTCCTTTTGCTCCTAGGAACATGATTATTTTTTGTATTTTTATTCGAATGTGTTTATTTGCTGTTGCATATCTTTAAAACGGATTCAAGTTCTGTGTCGGTTTTTTAAGATGTAGTTTCTCTGTTAAATAATAAAATAATTGTAAATAACAAAAATCTGTTAAATAATTGTAAATAATAAAAAATTTAGTGCTCTGGATCACCCCTATTTCCACATACACGTGTGTCACTTTCAGAGATATTTTTTTCATATAGAATATGTGGGGAAGAGGCCATATTCAGTAATACATACTTGCCAACCTACGACACTCAAAAATCAGGAGATTTTTTTAAGAAATTGGGAGATTTTTCACAATGTTAAAAAGACTTTTTAAATCATGAAAATATAGTTTTTAATAATGAATTAACTATAAATAGTAATTAATTCTTAAATGCAAGCAAAACAAAAATACCTTATACATAAAAAAACATTTTTATTACTTGCATCGTTTAAGGGGAAAAAAAAAACACTTTAGTCAGTTTTCGTACAAATGTTATAAACAGTAGCAGATTTTGCTTTCTTTAAGAAAGAAACTTCATAATTTTGTTCATAGCAATTGCCAGGTAGGCCTGCTTTCGCTAATAAAAGTTTTTCTAACGTGTCATCACTAATATTAGATTTAAATTTAATCCTCGTTTTCCCAACAACACTGAAAATCCTCTCACACTCTGCATTACTATGGGAAACTGTCAAGATGGCCAACATAATTCTAGACAGTTCACTATTTTTTAAAATTCCATCAGCATCTTTCGGTTTTCCAATTAAACTCCACTGGGTGTCAATCCTAGCTGATTTTATAACTTCATCCAAGTTTTCTAACTGTAAACTGCTGTTATGCAGCTGTTGGAACTGTTTCAAATTTTCCTTCCTTTTAGAACTCCTTTCAAGATAATAATAAATATCAACAATGTGTTCATCCACATTTACTGGTAAAGAAGCTGCCCCTTTTTCAGCTGCTAAATTTAAGAGGTGACAGGTTCACCTCATAATCTGCAAATCTGAATTTTCTTTTCTCAAGATGCCTGCAACACCAGTCTTCCAAGCCTACCAATACTGGTGCATTATCGGCACCAAATGCTAAGCAGTTATCCAGAGGGACTGCATTTTCTTTTAAAGTTTTAATAATTAGCTGTGCTATATTAAAGACTGTCGAATGTCCTTCTAAAGTGGGGACAGAAAGTAAAGTGCACTCATTTCTGAAGACTCTGGATTAAAAAATGAAGAAACAACAATTGGATACAGTTTTGAATCGGTATTATTGCTTCCATCCGTAGAGAGGCAGAATGGAGCTGTTTTAATGCAATCAATAACTGAAGATTTATTTTTCAAATCCATTTCTTTAACAATTGCACCTGTTTTGGTTCTTGCACTTGAGTATTTCTTAGCGATTTCACCATCGGGAAACATTTTTCTAAATAAAGTTGCAGCGTGATCCGATGCATTCAGTGGCAGGTTGTGGTCCAGTAAAAAGGCAGAGAACAGACATTCTGCATTAATAACTTTTTAGTAAATTGTTTCCGAAGAAAAATTTAATTTTTTGCTTTTTTCAAAACAATTCATGTTGTCTTTGTGTTTTAGTGTATGCACATGTTTGAGAACATCCGCTCTTCCACCACGCGAAATCGAAAAATCGCAACAACAGGCAGTACACATTGCAAATTTATTACATTTCCTGAGGAAATAATGGAAGAAAAGTCAACTGTGTACGATTTTTGAAATGTACACGAGCATCTCACCTTTCTTGCAGACATAATAAAAGATGATAATTTCTAAAACTATTTCTCAAAGGCACGTGTACTCACACAACTCAGGACAAAATGACCGAAATAACTAAAGAACATGCAAATAACAGCTTGCTTTGTCCTCATTGGCTAATATATGCCAGATGACATGCAGTGGAGCACAATGCCCATTGGAGAACAACGTTTCTGGATACGTACATGCTCTCACTCACAAAGCAGATGTTATCTAATTCGCAAGGGTTTGTTTTAGATATAATCTAGAGAAAATTCAATTGCGTTCAGACGTCCAAAATCACTTTTTTTTGTTCATATAACAAAGCATTAAGCCAAGTTCCATAAAAATCGTGAGAAATTTTAAGAATATGAAAAAGTCGGGAGAAGTATATTGTAAATTGGGTTGGCGGGAGAGCGGTCGAAAATCAGGAATCTCCTGCCTAAATCGGGAGAGTTGGCAACTCTGGTAATATATCAATTTATGTAAGCATCAATGCTATTGTTATTCTCTTTGATGCTTGGGATAAATCTAAAGGCTCTTCTGCCTTGTGTGTTTTGCCATCAGTTTTCCCATCTTTTAATCATTATCTCATTTAGTGATTTTTTAATTTGGGTTTTAGGGAATAGGATCGTAGTTGGAATAGAGTTTTGATTTGCTTGTTGCTTTGGTACTTACGTATTAACGCAACCACGCCAAAATTCGCATAAATTGTGAAATTTGGCGACCCTACTTACGACAACCCTACATGTTATACGTAGTTTTCTAAAAAGAGCATGTGGAGATTCACAAAATTTTCCTGCATTTTCGTGCAAATTTTTGTAATTTATGAGAAAATAGCAGTGTACGTGGATAAAGTCAAGAGTATGCGCAATGCCATTTTTGTGCAATTCTGGAATGTTTTTTTAAGTAAAAATAAGTCGACGTGTACATGGTTATTGCGAATACGGTTTTCAATCAGTGCTAAAAGCAATAGCCAAAAGATTTCCGCCGAAAAAATAATTCTGCATCTTATTCAAATTCGAAAACCGGAAGGGTTTAATTGATATTTTATATTTTAAAACAAAATAATATAAAAAACTGTATTAAAATTATCTGTAATTAATAAATGTACATTTTCTTTCTATTCATACTTTTTTACTCAAACTTACAAATAGCGTCAACCTGGTTGCGATAATACGTAAGTACCGCTGCTTCTTTTGCATAATTGTGCGTTTCCTCATTCCCTAAGGTTCCTGCATGTGCTTTCAGCCACTCAATAATAACTTTTGTATTGGGGTTTCTTAATGAAGAGTTAATTAATTGTCTGATAATAGGAGATTTGTGTGCCTTGTTTCCAATTGCATGTATGCTTGCTAAGGTATTTATTTCGATTCTAACTGTATGCAAGTTGTTACTAATGCTATAGGTTATTGCTTTTTTGATAGCCAGTGCTTCTGCTTAAAAAACAGTGTTATTGCTACTTAGATGATATTTGAGAAATATTGGCTGTTGGTGCATCTCATGTATTACTATGGCACATCCAACTTCTTCTTCATTTTTAGAGCCATTTGTAAATATTTACATACTGAATATTTCTTCGGAGTTGCCAATGTGGTTGAATCTAGGATGAATACTTGGTTTGATAATGGGATGAATTTTGTATGGGTGTTCCGGTTGCTCATAGTTCACGGCTTGAATTGGTGTGTGTGTGATTACGGCAAAGCCTCGAGGGCTATCTGCCTAAGAGGACGGATGCCTTCGTGGAGGACTTTGTAAGGGAAACTGTCTTGTATACATGTTACACATGGGGAAAACCACGAAAACGTCCATGCAGCCTGCCCGTTCGCGGGATTCGACCCTCGGACTGAACTACCAGTGTTCGGCGACTTAACTGCTCAGTCGCTGGTGGGCCCGGCTTGAATTGGATGTCCTTTATGTGGAGTCTTTCTTTAGTTGGAGAACTAAAGAATTTTTTCCATTGTAACGAAAGAGGGACTTTTGTAAGCGCATACAGAGCAGCATTGGAAGTTATTCTATAGCTCCTCGAAATAGTAAGTAGAAATGGCCTTTGAATCGCATGAACACACCAAAACAATACTTTTTTTAACTTATAGAATGCATGGCCAAAAATGAAATATAAATCCACAAGATAGCACTAGATGGTAAAATTAAGCAAGTGAGACGCAAACAAAAGAATAAGATGGAAAAAACAACTTACTGAAATTATGAATGGTAATTTCTTGAAAGAACAATCACCAACATACAACAATGATATAAGAATTGACGGATTCTCTCAGACACATCAAACACATAGCTGCAACATCGACAAAAATTCTGGTGATGAGTTCCATATCAGATTCAAGGAAAGGTTCACAGATGAGATTTTTAAGATGTGATGTTCCTATTAAAAAAAAAGTCAAGCCACAACAAATCAAGCTGTTATAAGAGTTTAGACATGGGGCCACCTCACCAAATCCAAACAGAAAGGTAAAATCCTTATAGTTCCATACATGTTCTCAAAAATGAATTGTTGCTCTGTTTTGCTGGAATATATAAACAGTTGGATAGTAAATGAAATATCCTCTAACAATCCTAGGAAGACGAGATGAAAGAAAATACAGTTTTCTCTTTTGTTTAATCAAAAAAAGGCTTACGAGCTTTTTTCCAGTTATGTAATAATCTATGCCTTAGAAATTAAAGCTATGCTGCATTAATGCTTATCACACTGACTTCTACTTACAGCAAGCAAGGAGCCTTTAATATCTACCCATTTCAGCAGATCTTAACATTTTAACTACAGCATACCATCTAAACAAAAATTGAAAAACTTTAGAACCACCACTACATTTTACAATGATTATTTTTCAATTTTTCAATAGAACTATATATTGCCATTTGCACAACCTACTGGCTCTTTGTACTAAAATGCACACATAAAAACTCATTAGATCAAAAACTGCTTACCATTTTAATTATCAAAATTTAAGTTAGAATACTTTAATTCTAAAACTTGGTGTGAAATTTGGGCATTTAAGACAGATCAGTTTCTTTATTTCTGGTCTTATTTCACTTAGTTTTAATTGTAAACTAGGATCCACTTTTAACTTAGTTTGGTATTTATTTTTCAAATATAACGTGGTACAAAATCCTTGTTCACACAAAAAAGTTGCGCAAAAAGGCAATAAAAATTTAATAGCTTTATTTGGAATATCTTTAAATTCTTTTTTCCAGTTCAGCCAAAAGTTAACATGTGTATTATTTTTAAAATTTTCAGTTAGAGTTCGATCACAGGAAATTTCTTTCAATTGTTCTTTTTCTTTACAAGATTAAATTTCAGATACATTTGAACAAAATAGATTTCTAATCCAACTTTCTTTTCCATAATCCTTGGGAAAATATATTTTGAAATTATTTGTCAATGAAAAACAATTATATTTAATGCTGATTTTTCTTTTACATTCAAATTATTTTCAGTTAGAAAAACTTTCTAAAAGTGGTAAAATACTTAAAAAATATTAGCTTGATTTTTTATTATTAGCTTGACTTTTCTTTACCATTCTACGGTCAAAAGTCGTTAATCACAACTCGTCGGGACTTCGGCGATTCCGGATTATAGATCATCAGTTTAAATCTGGTAAGATGGCATGCAGAAATTATAAAATTAAAAATATGAAACCATAATTTATGAAATAAAGAACAATTATGATCTAAAGGGTATTAAAATTTACAAAAAAAAAAAAAAAAAAAGCTTAATATTTATTTGTTTATTTTATTAAACATTTCATTCAATGTAAGTTGTTTTAAGTTGCTTCGTTTTTTATGTGATAATACTTTCTCTTTAATTCTATACACAGACATAATTTCTTGTTCTGTTACAAAGTTCCGCCGTTCAAGTCCTATAATTGCTGTGTCGAGAATACTGACTAATTTGTCAATCGAAATTTTTTCGTTTTCGAAGAAAGTGACCTCTGTGTCACTTTCTTCGCTATCAGAAGCGAATTATAATGACGAGGAATTTGATTTAAATCATATCAAAGACGGAGTACATCCAGATGAAATACTACATTTAGTAAGGAATTATAAGTCAAATAAAATAAAAACATCTGCCCTGAAGATAAGGATAGTGCTGACAGATCAACTTCCATTTCATCCCGCGCTGCGATGTTCCCCGCCCCCCACACACGCAGAGCAGCGTGAAATTGATAAACAGATTTTGGAATGGTTAGATAAACAAAGGATATGCCTTTATCCATTTTTTTTGCAGCAATTCCACTTTTTGTTTAATGGACTTCAAAGCATACTTTAGCTTTGTAGATCCTTTACATATTAGTAAATATATATCAGAAATTCTTTTTGACATAATCGAAAGTTCAACCTTACTTTTATAAAATTGCTCTAACAGTCTGCAAAAAATAATAAGCCGGATCCAATTCGAAGATTAAGGAACAATGCAATCTGCAACATTAACTGAATTAGATAATTTTAGCTTAGCTTATACCGTCTGTTATACATTAAACGCGCATTCGTAGACATATTTTGCGCATGCACACACGCATGTTTGCAGCCATAAAGGTCTTACGCGCACAGTCCGTCGCGTTTGTAGCTTTGAGGTCCGGATTATAGATCATTCTGGATTATGGGTGTCCGAATTAACGACTTTTGACTGTACTTATTTTATCTCTTTAATAAATTAACACTGTCTTTGAAATCCTAAATTTAATTCATTTAACTTTTCAAAAATATCAGCTAAATATGTTAAACCTGCCAATCATAATTCAGTAAATATACACTTTCGCAATTCAAATTTTGAATCACAGAGGAAAATTTGAATTTTTGATCGAAATTCAAAAAGATGATTTAAAACTTTGCCTCTGGATAACCACCACCTTACTTCAAAATGTACCAAAAGCCTTTTATGTTCACTGCCATCTCTTGGCATAAAATCAACTATTCTGGAATTTAAGGCTTTTAATAAAATTAGCAATTTTCACAGCTTGATTCAAAATGATTTTCACGTTTTCGGGGATTGTTTTCACTACTAAAGCTTCATGATGAATGGAGCAGTGAGTAAATTTAATTTCAGGTGCTACGTTCTTTATTTGAAAAATAACACCTGAATGTTTTTCTTTAAAAGCCTAAGCTCCATCACTGCATACGGCAATGCACTTATTCCAAGGACATAAAATTTTAAACATTCCATTTTCAGACATAAAATTGCCAATTACTTTGAAAATTTCATTTGCAGTTGCTCTATCATGAGGAGGTTTAATAAATACTCTTTGGTAATTTGTTTATCTTCTTCGAAACATATGTAAACTAATATTTGAATAAAGTTCATTATATCAGTACTTTCATCCAGTTGTAATGCAAATTACTCACTGTGTTTTATTTTTTGGCTAAGTGAGTATTTTATGGAATTTGCCATTTCATGAATTAGTCAACTTAGTGCATCATTTAATAACGGAATATTATTAAGTTCATTAGCCGCTTTTTCCTTGAATTACGTTAAAATGATATCTTTAACTGCTGGTAATATAAGGTTTTTTGGTTGATCTTTACATTATGGTAACTTGGCGATTTCTTGGCGACCAACTCTCCTACAGCAACACTCTATTTTTTTTTCCCACCGCCATTTTGTCTTCACGAAGTAAAGACATGTTTCTTTTCTTTTTATCTACTGAACACTTCTTCCAACAATCTACTAGCCGAATTACACTTATGCTAGAAATTTTATCTAACAAAACTGCTTAATAATGACAAATATTCACTGCAAAATTGGGAAAACGTGCACAATACCATACTCCTTACGCATTTTTCAAAATAACACATACACATAACACTATGTACAATATGTACACGTCGACTTATTTTTACTTAAAAAAACATCCCAGAATTGCACAAAAATGGCATTGCGCACACTGTTCACTATATCCATGTACACTGCTTTTTTCTCATAAATTAGAAAAATTTCACGAAAATATATGACAATTTTTTGAATCTTTAAACCCGGTAAAGAACATATATGAAATTACCTGATCGCGAAAAAGTATATACCCTTTCCAAATATGAACATTTCCACGTATAAAATAAATAAAATATGCAAAAACTTTTACCTCTCAATTATCTGTTATATTATAAACGTCACCAACGAATTCATACCGCAAACAAACATTACAAATACTTAGTGTAAAATATTTAAATTATTTCCATCCATGCACGTTTACTTTCAACTAAAACGTATACCAAATTCCTACAAACATAAAATTCACAAAATAACTATCATTTAATTAAAATATCACTAAACCATGTACACGTCGACTTATTTTTACTTAAAAAAAATCCCACAATTGCACAAAAATGGCATTGCGCACACTCTTCCCTATATCCATGTACACTGCCTTTTTCTCATAAATTAGAAAAATTTCACGAAAATGCATAACAATTTTCTGAATCTTTAAACCCGGTAAAAAGAACATATATGAAATTACCTGATCGCGAAAAAGTATATACCCTTTCCAAATATGAACTTTTCCCCGTATAAAATAAATAAAATATCCAAAAACTTTTACCTCTAAATTATCTATTATAAACATCACCAACGAATCTATAACAAAACATTAAAAATGGTTACAAGTACTTAGTGTCAAATATTTAAATTATTTCCATTCATGTTTATGCAAATTACTTTACTTCCACCTTACATTTAGAACAATGCATAAAAATAATATCCTCAAATAATTAAAAATACTAACTTACCTATTCTTCTTCAAAATCTTGATTACGTGTCCGATAAACTTTTCTTATTTCTGTTTCAGGATCTTTAAAATCATACTTATAGTTCACACCAAGGTACCAGGTAAAATAAATAACTTAATAAAACATCTTTACTTCTATCTCGCACAACTGTAAAGAAACACTTATTATTTTTCAATCCCACTAAATACCCATTTCGAATTCACTTTAGTTTTATGGTATCCAAAAATTAACGAACACTGTTTCACACAACACTGAATAAAGCCAAATACAAAATTTCCAGATTTTTTCCCGATTAAAGAACCGTAATTCGTCCATTAATATCACATGACATATCCCATGATCTCTCATTTCCCTCACACAAAATAATGCGTAATCGGAACTGAGTACTGCTCACATTATTACCAAAGTCCCAGGTAGTAACCTTTATCGCCTCCAAAATGTCGCCAAACTACCAGTTACCATATTCTAAAGATCAGCAGTTTTTTTTTTTTTCCTAGAGTCCAAGTCTGTCTTGGCAATTCTTAGTCTTACTAGATAACTAACTTCCAAAGCTTCTTACTCTTGTTTACTATTTTTGAGCTCCGATAATTTCCTCTTAAGATATTCTTCACATTTATTCTTCAAACTGTGCTTAGATTCAAGATATGTTTTACGATACTACAGTTTCATTGGTTAACAGTTCACTGCGAACAATACACTAAGGTTGAGGGTCCATTTTATCTCCATTCCAAGTAAACCCAAATGATAAATTCCATTATATTTTCTATAAACAATTTTTCTTTTCTTTTCAGTATTCTAAGTTATTGTCCTGGATCCATCACCTGTGAATCGATACTTTTCTGCTCTGTCCTATCCATTTTTAAATTTTAAAAATCTAGGTTTGTTTTATTACTTTTTTTGTACAAATATTTAAATGCACAAATGATTTAGTTTTTCAAAAACAAATGAAGATATTTTCAAATCCCATAGAAAATTAAGGAATACAAAGCAACAAGAAGACGAAATGCCTGCTGTTAGAGACAGCAAATCGACATAAAAAAATAATTCTAACTGAAAATAGAGCAATATGAGCCCCGAAAATGGTCGCGACATAAAGTGTAGACATGCTAATAAATCGATCAACTCTAAAAGAATTAATGAGACTATTATCTTTTCATAAGAACTTAGCCCCTTCAACTACGAGGTAATACTATAATAGTATATTTGTATCAAATTTCTTTTCAAGGAAAAATGGAGAAATTATGGGTAAGGTGCAGAATCGCCCACTTATTTGTTTGGCGTTTTTTACAAGAGTAAGAAATGGATTTTTGTCAATTTTCTTTGACTTTTTAAGTGGAAATAGGTCGATGTGTACATGGATAAAGTCAAGGGAGTGCACAATGCCATTTTTGTGCAATTCTGGGATGTTTTTTAAGTGAAAATAGGTCGAGTGAAATAGAAATTTTTAAGTGAAATAGGATACCGAGTATGTGCAATTCTTAAAAACACGCCAAACAGTGGGTGATTCTGCACTTTTGCCGAAATTGTATTTTTTAAATAAAAAATATTTAGTAAACATACAGTTACCTTCTTTCATTATTTTATTCTAGTAACCGCTATAATTTAGGGTAACATAAATATTCTTTTGAAAGAACTCAATTGATTTTCGCAATTTACTGTTTCAAAACTGGCGACTTTATAGTAAACAAACGAACACTTATTTTCGTGTTCAAGTTTAACGTTTTTTAGCCTACTATAAAAAGTTAATAAAAATAATTACGTACTGGAAACAGAAAGCAGATAAGAATTTATTTCTCTCACTAATATTTTGCATCTCTCTCTTGTGCAAAACGTATATGAGACAGAATTACGAAACAGGTAACTATTTAAAAGGAGTGTAATCAGGATTGCAAAACAGGTAAAAGTATTTAAATGGAATGAATCACTATTTACAGTTATCGACATTCTGTAGGTGTACTTAACTTATTAGTTTAAAAATTCACATTTATTAATGTAATTGTTTTTCTGAATAAGTAATTTATTAAACCATGTAGGCAGAAAAAAAAATTTAAAACAAACGAAAAAATTATCTTCTTGTCACACATAGTTTCCATTAATTCTGGCAACAGGAAGAATGTTATTTTGCGCTATACTTTGATGTTTAAAAATTGTGAACGTGTAATTTAAATGTCTGAAAATGAGGCGTAGATTACCAAATATATTAGTTACAGGTAACAATTTTTGCTTGCATAGTGAGACAGATTGTACTAATGCATCTAAAAATTATTTCATAAGGTTATAATTCGCAAACGTTATTTTTTGTGGGATTTCATCAGCCACGTGGTTTTTCTGTGAAATACGCAGTGTTTGTGCCAAATAATTTTTTTCATTTTCTATGCATATTAAGGAATAGAATGATTCCGAATGACATTAATAAATTTAATATATAACTGATTTTTACTCATGCATGCAATCCGATTTGAATAGAATTTGGTATTATACGCATTTGATTTTTAATTTGATCTGTACTGTCAATCATTTAAATCAAATCGTGTAATAGAAATGATTAAAAATGAAATGTTTTTAACAGTCTGCATGTTATTATTATTATTATTTTTTTTTTTTGTGAATTGAAGGGAAGGTTTCTTTTGCGGTGGGAGCATATGGTTACATGTGTTCTGGCGAAATTTCTTGTTAATCTGGTCATACTGTATATGCAATGTGTGCATTAAAAAGTAGAAAAATTGTTAACAGTGTAACACAGTTACTTAAAGGTTTTGTCCACTTGTGACCAAATGGAATTTATAATTCGATTTTGGTTTAGACCCCAACGGGTAAGCTAACTGCATGGATTTTTTTAGAGGGTCTGTGCTCCCATGTGTATTGCCGACAGAGTTAGGTTTCTTTACAGCATAAGACAGTTTTCAGATAACTGGCAATTGGTGACTTATGCTTGGATCCGAGGGAGAGCAATGCCAAACCTAGCTACTGACTGGGTTGACATTATAGGGTGTTTTATAAGCCTAAATTACTGAAGGGAGAATGTAAGGAAAATTTATGAAAGTGAACATGTGTGGTCAAGTATTCCATTTATTTCATTTTTTATGGTAGAGTAGAAAAGATAATTGTTTTTGGAAATGAACATTGTAAAGTGAGGAGTCAGAGAAAGCATTTTGTAAAAGAACATACAAGATGTGGCTATTAATTTCCAGGACTGCTCTAATAACACCAGAACAGATGATGTGAAAAACGTAACCTTTTAATATGTTTCGAAGTAATCCCCATTTGCCGTAATACACTTCTCTGTGTTCGGCTGTATAAGTTGTGGAAACAACTTTTAAAGTTCTCTTTTGGAAGGCTCTTTAATGTCAACATCACATTCTTGATGTCTTCAACATCCACAAAGCATGTTCCTTTGATCACAGTTTTTAGATTGGGAAACAAAAAGTCTGGGGGGAAAATCAGGAGAATATGGCGGATGAAGCAGCTCCATGACCTCATGCTTGTCCAAAAAACCTCTTCACTGGCAACATAATGTGGGGGTGGGCGTTGTCATGCAATGTGACATTGATGAGCCTTTCAAAAGAGGACTTTAAAAGTTGTTTCCACAACATATACAGCCGAGCACAGAAGTGTATTACGGCAAATGTAAGGAATTGTAAGGGATTACTTCGAAACATATTAAAAGGTTACATTTCACATCATCTGTTCTGGTGTTTTTAGAGTAGTCCTGGAAATTAATAGCCACACCTTGTAGATCCACTGCTGAAAGAAAAGAATATTATAATTATTTTAGAACATACTCTGTTAACTTCTCAATGCAATAATGTCCACATTTTAAAAACCAGTTATAAACATAATCTTCAGGCACGTTATTCTGTAACCTCTTGAGGTAACCGCTCATTAAAATTAGCAGTTGTAAGACGTATTATTCCTTTAAACTTTAAAATTGCCACAAATTCAGTTATTAGAAGAATGACGGCATGTATTTAACCATATGTTACCCTCCCCAGCTCTCATTAAAGTGAACAATTATAACATTCTTCTAAGTTAAAATTCTTTAAAGTAACAAGCAACCTAATTATAATATGAATCCTGCGATGTACTCTGTTAAATCTCTCCAAGCTACTATCTTTCTAAATGGTAACTCTTTAAAGTGAACAAATAATTATAAAACATATCCCGTTTAACCTTTTTTTAGGGGGGGATGTGCCTTCATTACATGAAAAACTGAAATATTTTTATTCAATTACCAGTATGCATTTAATTAATATAGAAGCAGATGCAGTCAAGTTTGCAATTGATGCAGTATCTAACTTTAAAAAAAAAAAAAAAAAAAAAGATTTTTTTTTTTTAGTGATTTTTTAAGGTACATTCAATACATCCTTATTTGAAAAATTGATTGATTAAAATAACCTATCTTAGAATTTCTAAATTTCTAAATTTCTCGTAGTAATGTATATTTATTTATTTTTTATATACTTATCTACATAAATACTTACTATAAAATTTTAGTAGAATATTAAATTTATAAAGAAATGACATATAATGGCCATATCATGCTTAGTTTTATAAAATCAGTTTGTAAATCAGTAATCGGTTATCATTCAAGATTTGAATATGCACAAAAATAAGGAATTATCCTCATAACACTTATTTAAAAGTTGTTTAAATTCTTAACCTGGAAAGACAACTGTAGAAAATTGAAAATGCCCATTAATTACCAGATTTTTATCTATTTATTTATTCAAATGTAGTTCCCCTTTTTTTGCTTATAAACAAACAATACACTAAATTTTACATTATTGAAAATAAATATATGATTTTTATAAATCCAAAAATCATTTCCCATTTGGAGATCATGGCATAATCATTAAACTGTAGGTTGGTGTTCCATTATTATTATTATTTTGATCAGATAAGAAAGTATAAACTCAAATGAAACCTTGCAACTACTCTGAGTTTTTTTCATTAGCAATGCAGTATGTTGTATGAGTAGTAACTAGGACCATATCAACTGCATTAGTAAAAATAGGAAAGTACCATTTCTTGCCCCTAATTTTTATTCTATACTTTTCTATATTCCAGTCAAACTTGTCAACATCACCTATGTTGTTATAGTAATGTGCAGTGACATTTGGCTGCAGAATTATTGCTCGTTGCACACATCCCAAAATTAAAACTTCGGTTGATCTTTACAATATGGTAACTGGTAGTTTGGCGACATTTTGGAGGCGATAAAGGTTACTACCTGGGACTTTGGTAATAATGTGAGCAGTACTCAGTTCCGATTACGCATTATTTTGTGTAGGGGAAATGAGAGATCATGGGATATGTCATGTGATATTAATGGACGAATTACGGTTCTTTAATCGGAAAAGGGGGGGAATTTGGACAAGTATCTGTGGATGTATATTATTTTGTATTAAGCTTCATTGTGTGTTGTGTGAAGTAGGGTTGAATAATTTTGGGATTGTATGGCGTTGTCTAAAGTGAATTCGAAATTTTTAATACGTTTGTGTGATAATTCAAAAGAATTGGTTGAATGGTGCATGAGTGTAGGTTTAATTGTGGATAAGTATGAATGTCCAAAATGTGGAATGAAATGAGATTGTGTGAAAGAAGGATATTACTGATAAGTTTGAATGGCGGTGCAAGAAATCTAGTGAAAATGGACATTTTGTGAAGCGGAGTGCAAGGAAGGGTACCTGGTTTGCTGAAAGTCGTTTGAGTATGGGTGAAATTTTATTTGATTTCTTACTACTGGGTGAATCGACTGCCAGTTGACTACTGGTATTTCCGGATTTAGAAATTAGTAGTAGGACTGGCTGGTGGAATTCTTTTTGTAGGGAGTGTGCGTGAATTTTGCGAAAATGATATGGGTATGCTTTGTATGAATGTGATTGGAAATTGATGAAGTAAGTTTGGGAAACCCAAGTATCTGAGAGGTAGGAGAGTGGAAGGAAAATGGGTATTCGGTGGGATTGAAAAGGGGAAGTAATAAGTGTTTTTTTAAGGTTGTGCGAGATAGAAGTAAAGATTGTTTATTGAGTTTTATAAAACAAATTATTTTACCGGGTAGTATAATTATTTCAGATTGTTGGAAATCATACGAATGTTTTGGAAGATGAAGGGTTTAAGCATCTTGCTGTAAACCACAAGTATTATTTTAAAGATCCGAAAGTGGTGCGCATACCAACACATAGAGGGCACCTGGAGTGGTATAAAAAGCGCCATTCTTAGGCATTGCGACAAGGAGAATTTTGCTTTTATTTAGCGGAGGAAGTTTGGAGGAAAATTCGGAAAAAAATCGTCAGTAATTTATTGAATCCATAATAAAGTGTATCCACCATGTAAAGAAGATTAGGTTAGTTAGACTTTGTTAAGAATGTGAGTAGTATTCAGTTCTGATTACGCATTATTTTGTGTGAGGGAAATGAGAGATCATGGGATATGTCATGTGATATTAATGGACGAATTACTGTTTTAATAATCGGGAAAAATCTGGGAATTTTGTATTTGGCTTTATTCTGTGTTGTGTGAAATAGTGTTTTGGATTTTGGATCCCATGGCCGTAGTAAAGTGAATTCGAAATGGGTATTTAGTGGTATTGAAAAGGATAGTAAGAAATGTTTTTTAAGGTTGTGCGAGAGAGAAATAATACTGATAATAATATTCAAGTTATCATAATGTAAAGATCAACCAAAACTTCCAAATGATTTGATAACATTCTAACGTTGTTATCTTTCCAAACAAGGGCCAAATATTCCACTTATTTCATCATATATATAATCAAAAGTTTATTTCCTTTTCAGTTTTTATAGTGCATAAAATTCTTCCAATTATATCTGACCATTCCTGTCGCAGCTATACTTCTCTCTTTTAGATTTTTTATCAGATCAAAAACTTGTAAAAAGTTTATCCAAATATAAGCAGTTTTTTCTGGTTTGTCTGTAGTTATTAATTTATTCAATATTATCTACATGCCTAAATCATGCATATATTTCTATGAACTACTGCTTAGCTTACCTTCATATATTTCACTACTGTAGCATTATTCTAGTCGCACTACAATGCTCTTTAACAAATTGCTTCAGAAAGTGATGACTATAATAATGCAACTACTGTATGGTATGGTTCACTAGATCATCTGCGAAGAACATTTCAAAAATGTATACTGCTGTTTTACCTTTTGCTCATTCTATCATGGTTATTTTATGTTGGTTGCAAT